CTTCAATTAACGGCCAAATATAAATAAAAAATGTGTTGCTTTCGTGAAATATATTTCAAAACTATAAATAATGCCTAATAACTTTTCCGAATCTCAATTCCACGGAAAAATGGTTAATATTTTTCAATAGATTACTCGATTACTATCGACTTTTCTGCCGCTTTTTACTTTTTTGACAAACAGGGTAAACTGCAACTGCAGCTTGCAGTTTAGTTTGATATATAGCTCAATTCTGTGGCTGTTACAGATCGGCTTAACTAAGTCTGACTGAGCGATTATATATAGATACTAAAGGCCTGAACTACAAAACATAGCGACATGTAACACATCATGCATGTGCCAGTTTATATCATGTCGCTTACACATGTTTGAAAGTGATATATGAAGACACTGCCGAATAAATTCTAATCAAATCATTCATCAAATTTATGCATGTCGACAAAAGGAACACATACGCCATATTCAGCATTAATATTTACATTGTATATACGGGAAGAGATTTTCCGAATTTTGCAAGCTGCTACTATAGTAAAATTTATTAAACAATTATCTAATTAAAAATCTATATACATTTTCATACAAGGCAGGATTAAACAGTATTAAAAATATGCTGCAGAAACACAACCGCAAACATCAGCTGAGCTAAGAACCAATGATGCTATAACAGTATGTTTGGGATGGAATGGACATGGCATAGCAATGCATGAAATTTTTGAAAATGAATGAATGGAAGAAGTTGAGAAAATGTTTAAATTTATATTTTGTTACCTACTTCACCGATTTGAAATCTGAAAACTATACCTTTCATGAGCATGAAATGTTATTATAACTTTGGTCCGATATTTGTAAGTACCAGAATAAGAAGTGATAGACTCATCAAAATGTGTACTTATGTATGTGACCAGAACATCGAGCTGAGCCGACTTAGGCATATGGCAACCGAACTTCAGTTGGGTTGCCACTGACTGAAATGGTTTTACAGATAGCAACTGCAAGCTGGCAACTGAGCTGCTATATTGGCCACGCATTTTTGTGGTCGCTGCGCTAATAATCGAACATTGTATACCTAAATATAAGGTAAACTTCAAAGTCTAGGGCGGGCTACATATACATAATAAATATGTACATATGGCCTTAAACAACAGTCCACAAATACATTTATTCACCAAGGATTATATTTTGTTCAGGTATACAGCATAGCTACAAATAGCAAACTATTTTGGGGGTGTTAGAAAGTTCTTAGTTGTATTTTTTTTTTTTGTTTCTGCGGCACGAACGATTATACTATCTAACCTCTTCATTTTTTTCTCTGTAAAGACAAAATACATGCATAAATACATACAACGTACATATATAAATATGCATTTTATGAATGAACATATTTATGTATACAACTTTAAAAAATATTGTACTAAATAATCTGTGCTTACGTTTTACGTTTTTTGGCGTTCTCTGGTTGCACCCCGCCCGCACGCGGGTTGTAAGAAAAAGCATCCGTGGCAGGAGCGAAAAGAATTAATAACTAGCGACTCCGTGTAAGTTTCCGTATTTTGTTCATTTAAATAATTTATTATATAATGATTGATATTCAATGTAAACGATTAAAAAATCTGATCGAGAAGTAATAAATATTTCCGTTTATAAAAAATTTTTATAATTGAAAAAATTTTTACAAAATAATGATTTTTTTAAAAATTCAAATAATCAGGCTAAAACTTGGCTAATTAACTATCATCGTGAAAAATCAGCAAGATACATGCTATGAATCAGTGGATAATAAATAATTACTGAATTCATCAAAAAAAAGTTAATAACAATAACTGTTGTAAAAACTCGAAATTTGCAAAATTGCTCAAATTATATTTTTTAATGGTTTTAAACCGAATAAAGTGATTTGTGCGATTTTGGGTGGCCCACTTGAGAGATTTTCACTCAGAGGGAAACGCAAAATAAGTTCAATTTTTTTTAGATAAAAGTGAAAGTACATGACGTGCATTGCGACGCCGTCACCGTCATCGGCAGTTGTCAAAAAGGCTGATTCGGTGTATTTGTATGAAGTAAGTTACATGAACAAGCTGACGGGGAGAGTGCCGCACAAATTAGCTCAACTCTCAATTTTGCTTATGCGATTGCGTCAAATGACAACTATTCAGTGTTTTGTTTACATG